ATATGGCAGCGAACCGGCAGCAGTGGCGTTCTTGTTGTCGTTTCTGATCAGGTCAGAATGCTTGATACGGTATGTATGCAGAGTTCGATTGCGTACTCTGTGTGTTGACCATAGTGGCTCATCATCTTCTCCCTCCCTGAAAATAGATCCATCTTAAATTTTACCACTAACCTTGTATGCATTGTGAGTTTGGCAGCGGTCAGTGAAGTTCACTTCACTGTATTTCGCGGTACAATGATGATGGCTGTCCCAAGCAGTTCTCTTGAGAAGGCGCCCTGGTTACTATCATGAGTCCGCCCACAGAAGCGGAGATTCGAAAGGAACTCCAAGCCCTGAAACGCCACAAGGCAGCTGGATCAGACGGCCNCACCTGCCCTCTTTAAAAATGAGAGGCTCTCATGAGACAGATTGTGAAACTGTTCTCGAAGATCTGGGAAACCGAAAGTGTATCCCACACACGGGGAGAATCGACTGTTACACATATCTACAAGAAGGGCTGTCGCAACGCCTGTTCAAACCACAGGGGCATACGTCCGATTGCAACAGCGCCGAAGTTAAAGCGTCCGTTTTGTGCAGATTAAGCCCATTTCGTGAGCACCAAATCCACGAGGAACAGGCCGGGTTTCGTGCATGCCATGGATGCATAGATTAAATATTCACCCTCCGTGAGCTACTAGAACACCGCCATGCCTACAGATGGCAAACTACTGTCGGATGTTTGGACATCAGAGCGGTCTTCGACCCTATCGATCACTCCGCACTATCAAACTGTTGGCGGAGATACGGAGTACCCGAGAAATATGTTTTACTCCTAAATGCGCTCTATCGCCAGACCTCGGAGAACGTTGGGGCCTATGGTGAACTTTCACCCTCATTTCCTGACACCAATGGATTGCGACAGGGTTGCCTTATCTCTCCGTTTATCTTCAACTTTGCCATAGATTATGCTCTACAAAACGCGTTGCATAACGTAGTGAACGTTGGCGTCGCGCTTCTTTCTGAAGACAGTCGTAGAGTTGGAGTATGCCGATGATATTGTCTTACTCGGTGACAACGCACCAACGACTCAAGAGCCGTTAAATTGTTTGGTAATTAAAGTTACTCGCTATGGTATGTCCTTTGCACCTTCAAAGTACAAAGCGTTGTTGCAAGTTGAACAGGAACCCGTTCCTGCACTTTCATTGAGTAATTACACCCTGGAAGTAGTGTCTACCTCGGGAGTTGCATAACGGCTGGTGGAGGTGTGGGTAAGGAAATCTCTCAACGCGTGACCAAAGCTAGATTAGCGTTTGCTAATCTGCAGCATATCTGGCGCCG